TCTTTCTAGCTAGGTGTTAACTTAGTATTCAACTCACCCCTTGCTAAGGAGTAGTTCTCTATTCGTACTGCCATTTACTAGCTAACTATTATTCTCTCTTACTTTCTATGTCTTTTCTATAAACTCTTAAAAGAAGATCCTAGACTCGTTTTCCTTTCCTTTAAAACAAAAGCCTTTAAAACTGAGACTTATATTCCAGTATTCCTTGTATAGGTGTCAAAACATAGCCCGACCCGATTAACCCGCCCGATCAACCCGACCCGCAACCCAAATTGACTAAAAGTCAACAACCCATAACCCGCCCGACACGCAACTCGTTTGACCCGCAACCCAACTAACCTGCAACCCGACTAACCCGCAACCCGATTAACCCAAACCCGATTGACCCACAATCTGACTAACCCGCAACCCGATTAACCCGAACCCGATCGACCCGAACTCGACTAACCCGTAACCCGACCGACTCAACCCGAATTTCATCTAATCCACTTGAATAATTATAAAAATACACAATACATAGTTTTTCAAAATAAAGTTTTTCATTCTAAACTTAAGTAAAATTATTTTTTCATTTCGGATAAGAAATTTTAAAAATATGAAACTCACTTGATATTACGTATTTTAAGAAAATTACAAAAATTGAAACATGAAGGTCACTTGAGATCATGACAATATTAATATAATATATAAATTAAAATTTTGGTTAATTTAACTATTCAATAAAATTATCAATTAAATATAAATAAAGTAAAGTAATGTACTTGGTAATTTGATGTTTTTAAAAGAAGAGGGAAATTTTGGTGTATTCAAGTTTTTGGGAAGAGAAAGAAGAGGGAATTTGGTTCTTTGAATTTTTTAGAAAAGAAACAAGTGGGAATTTTGGTGGTTTTGATATGTGGGAAGAGAAAGAAGTGGGAAAGTTTGATTCTTTTGATTATGAAAAAGAAATAAGGAGGGAAACTTTTGACTTTTCAACTTTTTGTAGAAGGAAAGAAGAGGGTAATTTGGTTCTTTCAATTTTATGGAAGAGAAAGAGGAGAGAAAATTGAGTTTTTCTAATGTATGGAAGGAGAGAGAAGGAGAGAAATTTTAGTATTTTTGTGAAAAAAAAGAAGGAAACAAATTTGGTGTTTTCAATTTTTTGGTTTTCATAATTTTAACTTTTGAAATATGAATCTTTAACTTTTATATGGAGGGCATGACTAGTTAAAATTATTCTTATATGCTTTGAAGGCTAATATGTATATATGTATGTAATTTTTTATGGGCTAATAAATAAATTAACCATTAGTTACAACAATTTTTACTAAACTTGATAAGTAATCTTTGACGGTTCTTTGTTTAGGATATAAGTATATGGTTAAGGTATAAGGTATAAGGTACATATGGTTTAGGGTGTATATGATTAGGGTATAAGATATTGATGGTTTTGACGGTTCTAAATTTTTTTATTAACATATGTTCACTTGAAGTAATTTGAAGTCTTTAACGGCAGGATATCCCTTTTTAATTTATGTTTATGGTACGTGATTAGGGTACAAGGTATGTGGTGTAAAGTATAGGATATATGGTTAGGGTATAACAATTAGCAAATATCACTTTTTATCTATGTTTTGAAAATCAAAGTATGAATTTCACTTTTAAATTAACTATACTAGCAAAATCACAACTCAAGGACATATGATTAGGGTATAGGTTATGTGGTTAGTGTATAATGTATTGATGGTTTAGGGTATACAATCAACAACATATACTAACTTAATATTGTTGATTGAGGGTAAAGCTAAGTGTATAGGATATGCTATTGAGTAAGTTATGATTGAATTCACAATAATTTTACTAAATTTTATAGCTAATCTTTAGTGGTTCAATTTTTAGGATAATTCAAACAATTTTACAAATAACTCGTTTGGCAACAGTTTACTAAAGTTATTTGGGTAATGAGTTATTTTGAAATAACTCCTTTTATCACTATGCTTTTGAAAAATATCACACGCCAAATACCAGATTTGCATGGTTATACTAAACGAGATACTTTAAGACAATTACTACTGAATTAACACTAAAATATTAAATAAACAATTAACGGTGTCTTTTGGTTGCAAATATTGATATCACCATTACTATTAGCTATAATACTTTACCAATTATGATTAATTACATAACAAGTTTCAAGTCGTACAAATTGATTTAACATTTTGACTAGTTTTTTTCAAAAAAATAAAGTATATATATATATACGAGGTATAAATAAATTGGTTAAAAAGTTGAGAAAATATTTTAAATTAGTGTAATAAAATGTGTAAGTTGGTAATGAGTAATGAGTTAAGTTACTTGATGCGCTGGCCCGAACAACCCGAAACCCGACCCGCCTGCAACCCGACCGACCCAAAACCCGATGAACCTGCAACCCGATTTGCCCGCAACCCGATTGAATCCGAACCCGATGAACCCGCAACCCGACTAACCCACAACCCGTTTGAACCCGAACCCGATGAACCCACAACCCGACTAACCCGCAACCCATTTGAACCCGAACCCGATTGAACCCAGCCCGAACCCGCCCGATTGACACCTATAATTCCTTGGAGACCAAGGAATAGAGAAAAACCGGCTCTGATACCAAAATGTAACACCCTTACACGGCCGGGTACTACTTTTACTAAAATGCCCTTAAAAATAAAATAACCAAATCTTGAATCTCAACGGGAAAAATTTCATAATAAAATACTTAAAACACACTCTTGTAGTTTAAAGCAAAGCCCTAACAAGTGGGCAAACTCAATACTAAAAATCTTAAAATAATCTCCAGTCTGTACTCATAATCGTAAATGTAAATAACTAATAATCTCTAAAGTTGTTGGTACTGAAAACCTTGACTAAGCATCCTCCGTGACGCTTATACTGCTCTCCTCTAGCTGGTTGCCCTCGAACTCGCTGCTCACTAACTGCTCCTCTAGCTCCTCAAACTGGTGAGTGAGATGGGGTCAGTCTACGCACTTACGTTTAACATTTTATTAATACATGATCACTTTACTTAAGTTAGTAGAAGTTGTTTCGTACTTCCACTATTAAAAAAAATCTTAACTGTTAAAACTGTATTCTTAAAGCTCAAATCTCAACTTAAATTCTGGACTGACACGGGGATCGCTCACTAGCTAGTCCGGTTGCCATCAAGGCTTTCCTTAAACTTATCGTGGAAGGCTCTTCTTCCACGATTCTCAAGAGCATAACTGTTGCTCATCTTAAAAATCTCAAGAGCATAATTGCTGCTCAACTTAAATATCTCGAGAGCATAACTGCTCCTCTGTCTCAAAGATCTCAAGAGCATAACTGCTGCTCTATCTAAAAATCCTAAATGACAACGAACTGACGCTAGTGACTAAAAACACTTAAACCGACTTCACCTTCTTGAAGGTGAGTTAATTCTTAAAAGAAAACGTGTTCTTAAACTTCAACTTACTTGTAAATAAAGCATGCACTATAATATGTATAACTGGAAGCATAAATCACACACAATCACATGCATCATATAAACACTCAAAGGCAAGTATGTCACATAGCAGTCAATCTCAAAAACTGAAATACCGTAAGGCGTAGAATTTACCCCGTTTACACTCACCTCGAAAAGAAGACTCCTCGATTCTTTACTCAAAGAAATCCCTCCTTTTTCGAATTGCCATGGAAAACCTCACTTATCTATTATCATTGCCAACACAGCTCGATCTTCTTAATTAATTCATCTTGATCACCACAGCCTCATGACCTATCCACCTCTACATTGAGCCAAAACCCCACAGTCCACCCATTCTGATTCGAAACCCTCCACCTTCTTTGAAAATCGATCTTGAATTTACATAACCTTATAATCAACTCTTTGTAAATCTTAATCATATATCCTCCCCTCGTGATCGAATTCATGCATGGATAGAAGCATAATGTCAAAATGATTTCACCTGACCCCCAATCGCCGTTAGGAAGCAACTGACCCTACTGGCTCATTTTCCCATTCTAAACTTGTAGCGACTCTCTCCTCTACCAGTCGCTATTCAACAAATACGTAAGACAACCATACTGCTACCATTATCAGATTTTCCCTACAATGGTTCTTTAGGCATTTCCTTCTGAGTCCCATTCCTGAGCGGATAGGTACCTTTGATGTTGCTTCATTCTTTTCCTTTCCTTCTCGCTTCTTTCTCTCCTGACAGCCGGCGATCGGTGATGAAAAGTGGTGGGTGGTGCAATAGGAAGATGGGCAGCTAAACTAGTCTCTTCTGTCGGGTTTAGTTTTAGGTTTAATATATATTGGTTCTAGGTGAGGTCGATTTAGAAGTGGGGTTAGGTTAGGGTTTAATTTCCTCGGGGTTATTTTGGAAATTTCTTAATTACAGGTGAGTTTAATCCTAACTCAATTAACGTTGATAATTTTCTCACTTCATGTCGAAACTCGACTTCGTTTGAACTATTAGTTCACATTTTTAATCCTTATGGATAATACGGTGGAACTTGACCCAAGGTTATGATAGTCATTTTGACTTTTGGGAAGAGCGGGGTGTAACACTTATGTTGGTCTTTTGGGTTCATTATGATTTTTATGATATCCTGATAGAATATCTAGTTTAGTAAGAATTTGGAACCCCTAAGCTCATCTAAGAGGTCCTCAATAACAGGAATAGTTGAATAGGAAATTTGTCTTTAATGGTGATGGAAATTAACTTTCTGTAATCAATACAAAATCTGTGAGTGCCATTTTCTTAACTACCAATAGAATTGGAGCGACAAAGGGACTTCTACTAGTTTGGATCAATTGGGATTCCATCATTTCAGTAGTTATTTTCTTTTCTCTCCCACATCTTTCTATGTCAATGGATATCTATAGGGTCTAAGGTTAATAGGTTGGGATTTGGGGTGTAAGTAAGGTTGTCAAACCGCGGGTTGATCCGGATCCGGTGGAGCTAGTGGGTCAAGAGTTAACGGGTCACCTGTTTTAGCCCGGAAATATGGAAATAGTAATTATATTGTACTTATCTTGATAAAGTATATAAAATCTCATCTAACATATGAGTAATAACATATAACTTAACACCAAAGTAACATGTCGTACTTAGATCCAACATATAGTGAAAATTGAAACACACTTATATAACATCAATATTCAAATGTTCAACTAAGAATTCCAAAGATTGAATTAGGCGAAAATAAAAATCGAAAAATAGGCGCATTTCGTAAACCAAAGAAAAAAATGACACAATTCGAAAAATAGGCGCATTTCCTCCGCTCTTGCCTTATTGAGGAAGGTATAAGTGCTCCCTGTGTCAACCAATACCATCAACTTGTGTTTCCTTACTATTCCTTTCACAATCAGGGAATTAGTCACTCCCCTACTACTAAGGGTTTGCATAGTGACGGGATCTTCTTCAACTTCCTCCTCCTTGCCACTCCAAGCTCGTCGAATTTCTCCTGATATTTCAGCAATGTTCCTTTCTAATGAAATTTTTAAACTCTCCAATCACGCCCCCATGGTGATATCCCCAAATCTCCTGTCACCCTACACACAAACCATTGAACCACATATATGCTCGACGATCCATAAGCTATCACCTCTCAACACCAGAAAATCCAAGCGAGGTTGTTGATAATGAAAATTACCTATTTAGGGATGAGGAACTTCCATTTCCTCCCCGTGCCTCTCCGTAAATCGACTCCTTGGATGACAATTGAGCTTTGGCACATCAATCCAAACTTGTGGTAACGGCAGGAGACCTCGATCGTTGTTCTGGTCGGCCAACTGCAATCCTTCTTCAATCGGCCGCTGACCACAGAGCTCGCGAAGCAGTTCTGTAAATGACCGACCATACATATGGTCAAATTGGCCATTCAATTGAGCAATCTGCTCATCCAACCAGCCCAATCGGGACTCCATTGATCGTGACTGGGTCAAAATATGCGCGAGTCACTGAGAATGATCTTTCCCCCTCGTCGTCAAGCTATCACTGTGGTAGTCATGCTTAGTAGGGCCATTATACGACTTTGCCACCTCTGGGTCTTACTCAGCGAGGGAAGAGAGGAATTGGGAACATAGAGAACAGAGAAAGGCAAAGAAAGAAGGAGAGAGAAAGTGAGAGGGACAATTTGTTTGCTTCTCATGAATTGTCTAACAAATTCAACAGATTGTTCCTTTTATCCAAACCTCACGCGCCAGCTGGCGATCACATGCTCAACACGCAGAATATAACATTTCGAACTATTAGAGAATTAATCCTCTAATTTCTAGTTATATACAATTGAACCCCTATTCCTTATAGAGAATGCAGTCAGTGGCCTCAGCTTCGCTAGCGTTTCTCCGTTGGCAGTAATTAGTCAGAGGGTGGAGCTACAACTAGACTCGAAGGGACCTCGCCCTCCGAGAATTTTGAAAGTTACATATAAAATGCCTGAATATTTTACGTATAAACCAAAAGTAAAGAATAAAACCACGTAGTATGCAAACAATTAATAAAAAATTACTTATACCCTAGCATAAATGTTGCACCTTTGCTCCCTCTAGCTCCCTGTTTCGATCCTCATGGGAAGCGGGCATTTTTAGCAGCTGTATTATTCCAATAACAGAGTTAGAGTACAGTTTAGGTCGTTAAAATTAAGCATCCCTCTTTCGATCCTCATAGGAAGCGAGCATTCTTAGCAGCGGTATTATTTCGTACCAGAGTTAGAGTACCATTTCATGTTCTCAAAATTAAGCATATATATAATAAAATTTATTTTAAACTCCAAGGATAGCAATTTTTATTATTCGATGAATTCGTAGAACTTGAAAATATTTTTTTCTGATTAACATTAAACTTAGTCGCTTTGTTCGATACCAACTAAGTTCTTTAAAATTAAGCATATGTATATATAATAATAATTTATTTTCAGTAATCATATAGGACATATCTCTTAATTATGAAAATATATATGCTATACAATATTGAAATGCATTGTTAATTTTTTATTTTTTATTTATATTGAACTTAATGTAAAAATGACTTATAGCCTAGCATAAGTGTCTCACATTTGCTCTCTCTAGCTCTCTGTTTCAATCCTCATGGGAAGCGAGCATTTTTAGCAACGGTAGTATTATTCCGTACCAGAGTTCGAGTACTAGTTCTAGTCTTTAAAATTAAGCATATATATAATAAAAATTTATTTTAAACTCCAAGGATAGCAATTTTTATTAGTCGGTGAATTCATAGAACTTCGAAATATTTTTTTCGGATTAAAAATTAAACTTAGCAGCTTTATTACATACCAACTAAGTTCTTTAAAATTAAGCATATGTATATACAATACCAGTTTCTTTTAAATATTTATATAGGACGTATCTCTTAATTATGAAATTATATGTGGTATACAATATTGAAATCTATTGTTAATTAGTTACTTTTAATTTATATTGAACTTAATGTAAAAAGTTTGGTTTATAAAGTGATTGCTTTTTTAATATTTTCTTGTTATTATCTTTATTCATTTTGTGGAAACGTACTATCACAACCCCATCATCGATTATCCGCCCCTGATTGGTGATGACCGGTTGCATTTTGTGTGTAATTAATTCCACAACTCGAACAAAAACCCAAGCAGAAGACACGACATTGAGGCTGGTAGAGTAATAAAAGCCTAATTGTCGAATCCGCCACCGCTGGCCATGGCTCTTCCTTCCAATTCGCTACAACAATTTTCGTCTTTTCTGACGACAACATTCGTCACAATAAGACAATATTTTGTCACAATAGGTTTATAATGACGAAAAACTTCGTCCAGGCATTTGTCAAAACTACGTCGTCGAAACCACTTTTTTATGAAAAAAATTTCTAACTTTGTCACAATATTTATTGATGGCATGCCGCGTATTTTTGTCATAATAAGCTAAAATTTTGTCAGTACTAGTCGCACATTATAGCATGTTATTTTGAAGAATTATTATATTGTGACAGATGTTTCGTCGTAATAGTTGGTCATAACAACATTACAGTTGTTCTGACAAAATTGTTTTCGTCAAAATTGGTTTGTTATGAAAAATGTGTTTTGTCGATGTTCTTGTCGACGAATTGGTTTTGTCAGTATATATTTAATATGACCAATAATATTTGTCAGCATATGTTCTTGCATTTTTTACACATTTTCTGCATATTATGGCATCTATTTCGACCCGTATCAGCATTATCTGATATGCCACTTCTGTCACAAAATCTGAAAATACGTGAATAGCATAGATATATCCCAGTCTTAAACAACATGACATAATCAAAAATAACATATTCCGCCCAGTCATAGATATCCTAGACACTGAAAACTCGGCACACCCTACAAATGTTCAACCCTGAAAGACCTACATCGACTTCAAGTTCATTCTCAAATGAGAATCCCACCGAAAGAAAAAAATTTCCACCAGCCAAGGACGCAAGGCACCATTGTCCATGTCTTTCCAAAATGAGGTTCCAAGTACATCCACCAAAGTTGAGACAATACCTTTACATAAGAGATAAACCAAGTCAAACTCATGCCATTCATCCAGCTAATGGAACTCTACTGCTGCCTATACATTTTCGATGCGTACTCATTCATTGAAGCTTGTCAGAACATTCAGGCCATTCATTCCATGCATCAACTCAATCCACTCTACATTTCTTAGCATCTTAAGATTCAAAGTATAGTTTGTTGAGGGTTATTACCTTAGATTACTGTGTTGTCCCATCATTTTTCGTGCTAGGGACTCCACATAGCTCTTCAGATTGTCCTGTGACTCTTGGAGTTTTTGGATGACCTGCTTGTTCTTTTCAATTTCTTGTTGCTGCTCCTCAATTTGATGTTGTTGGGTTTGAATCTGCTCTTCGAACTCTTGCCTCTGCTTCTCTCCTTCAGTCAGTAAGTTTTCCAAACGCTCTTCTAGTTCTTTCTCTTTTTCAGAAGCTGGTTTCTCTTTGTTGATGTAAGTTGGAGCTTTGTGAAGCACCATTGCAATGATTTCAACACCAGATATTCGGTTCCCCTTTTCTAAAGCCTCAGCATAAATTCTCTGTGTGTCCTCCTGCACACACGACACAAGGTCACATTCATTTACATCATTGCAGTCTGATGCATACAACTATAGTCTACAAAGTCAAACACAACTCTTACATAGTTGTGTTGAGGTTGAACGTCGACCCAATTGCCATCAGTCCTCCTATGTGTGGCTTCATAAACTTTCATTTCCTTAGGCTCTTCTTGCTCGACTGCATCAGAGGGTTGGTCACTGGAGTTCTCCTCCTCGGGGTGGGTGGTTGCATGCTTTGGTTTCTCCTATAACATAACAGAATGATAACATTTAAGGAGTACAAATATATAAAATTTAACACCTCTTCTCCTACACTTACCATTTCATCCATCCGCAGACTGTACGAGTTACCTCTCGTAGTGTGTGCATAAGTCTGCATACTTTGTTATGCTTATCGGCAGTACTCCGCCTCTACATAGAATTATACGAACAAATGCATCATTCATTATAGTAAATGAATGGGTGTACAAATCTAATCTATGGTAATGCTCATATAAAGGGGAACATTACCTTAAACCGAGGAGATTCAAAATGGTCACATAGACGTAGCTAATCATCCATGTTAATGTTCTCGTATGGGGTCTGACGAGCACTGTCATCACCTAAATTCTGATAATGTTCATGACAGTGGTGCTTGAAGTTCTTGAACCGCATCGATAGTGAGTAGTTTACACACTTCCTCATAGCTTCACTAGTCAGTGAGATATCAAACTCAAACTACACAAAAGGAACGTACTATTAGTGGATCCCAATGACATGTGAGAAAGCTATGTATATTGTCAAATTAGATACAACATACCTATAATTTTGCATATATATGTTGCTTAAGCTCTTCCGTCACGTGGGACCAATAAAAATTACCAATAGGTTCCATCATCTTACATATTACCCCTAACTCCATCTTAAATTTTTTTTGTCATTATTGTCGACCACTTGTTTACTGGCTTCCGGTGCAACTACGATTCCTCCAATCTTACTGCCATCTCGAGTTCTCTTAACTAATTCATGGACTTTGGCTTTTCCACGACCTTTTTTCATGGTGGGCCTAGCATATACGATTAAAGGCACAAAATGAGTGAATTAAGCTTTTTCCAAGAATCAGTTGTACAAACGGTAACATATGCTAAATAAGTATGGCCTGCTTTGCTTACTTGATGGGTTCAGATCACCAGCTTCAGAGCGCAGGTTGTTTGATCCATCAGATAAGGCCTCAGTCTCTAATGGTTCTTCAGACATGTTCTCAGCAGGACTCTGAACCTCTTGGGTGGCCTCAGTAGTATATGCAAGCTGATGTAAACTTCTAGTCCTTCGTGTTGTTTGGTTTTGGCTTAATGCAGCAGCCTTTCTCTTCCCACCTCGATTAGCACCCGAAGCCATCCCTTCAAACATATAAGTGGGAGTCATTAAAGCATCATTACTTAGGAACAAAGTGGTTATTAGGATTAAAACAAACAAGAAGCAAGTGGCAGTTACTCCAATAACTCCAAGGTTTGTGAGCAATGGGAAAAAAAAACCTACAAAGTGATAAAAAATCATCTAATTATCATCTTCTTCTTCATTGCCATCGATAGTGTTGTCATTTATAGTCGAGGCTTCCTCTTCCTGATCTTCAGTGTCCTCTTCCTCATCTTTATTGTCCTCTCTAGTGTGATCTTGAGCATTTTCATCTCCAGACGGTGAAATGACATCATCACTGGCTAGCAACTTCTCCATAACTGAAATTTCCAGTGCGTTAAGAGTAGGGTTGTTAATGAGCATAATCGAGCCAAGATTTTCCATAGTTCAGGCTCGGCTCGTTAATATATTTCTAGGATCGAGCTCTGCTCGTGTTCGTCACGAGCTTTAATATGCAAGCTCGAGCTCAGCTCGTTTATGAAAATGAAAGCTCGAGCTCGACTCGTCAAATAAGTTTAATGTGTCCAAAATTGAGTTCAACTCATAAAATGTTCATGATAGCTCAAGATTGACCTAGAACTAAGCACAAAATTACATTTAAAACTGTAACAAAAGTCTATCAACAAAAAAAAAATCCATGAATTTTAATCCTTTTTTCATGCCAAACCATTAAATGAGCTTGTTCGCGAGCTTTCGAGCTGAACATGGTATGGCTCGAGTTTGACTTGTTTAGTTAACGAGCTTGTTCACGAGCCGGCTCGATTAAGACGAATCGAGTGTCGACCGAGTTTTTCTCGAATCGAACACCGAGCCGTTCATGAGCAGCTTGATTCATTAACAGTCCTAGTTAAGAGTTTTGGATCTCCATTACTTTGACAGAGCGACATATATAGTGGGGAAACTCTAATCTAGAAAGGACTTCTATTTGGGTCAGCCAATCCGGCTCAAGTACACTACCCAAAGAGGCGTACCTACAACCAAACTTGGTAACTGATGCAACCACAACTACTCCCACAATTGGATGATACCAGATACTACACAAACGATCTAATCACACTCGTTCATAGACCCCAAGTGTTGAATTGGCAATGCTCTTAATCAATCTTAAGGAGGTATTCTCTCACCTAGGTCAATTAGCCCCAAAATTGAGAGAAGTGATCCAGAACACCCCAATATATAATCAAGATGCAAATAAAGGATATAGGGTCACAAACAATCAATTAAGACATACTAACTAGGGTTCCACAACACCCCAAGTAAATTGAAGAACTACTCCATGGCTAGAAAGAGAAATACAACCAAAATGTTTGACCATGTGTTAGAGTGTAAGAGTTGAACTCTTTGTGTGATGATTCTGTGATTAATATAATGTTTATGATATTATTCATGATTCTTGGGTATTTTTTTATCATATCTCAAGGTTGGGTCAATTCAACCTAATAGGAGGAAATCCCCTCATAGCCCACACCTTAGCAATTTGGGTCATCCTTTCTAGGGAAATTAAGGACAAACCTCAAACATTGAATTAGTTTCATGATTTCATCATGATTGGTTACTTTTTTCCGTTCTGGATTAACCTACGAGAGATTGGGGTTTGCATCCTTAGTCGATTGATTAAGAGGGCTAGTCTTCCCAGCTTATTGTGACATTCCTTAGTTAATCGATTAAGAGAATTGAATTATCTAACTAATTGCATCCTCCTCACAGTATATAATCACAGTCACACACTAGAGTTCTACTCGTTGATCTCGACACGAGACTAGGGGGAACAATATCCAGGTGAAAACCTTCTAAAATAGAATCAACCACAACTTTACTTTGCTTGTTTGCTTTCAACTGTAGTTTCTTAGATTCCACCACAAACCGTTTTCTAGATATATGTAGAAGATTGAAATAGAAGTACATAGGTTGCCTCGGTGATAATTAAACACTTGCCCAATCCTACACACGGTCGTTGGTTATGCTTGGTCATCGATGGGGAATTGTGTAGTTAGGTTCGATTCATGCGAGTGTGGAGTCTTCTTGCCGAAAAGTACCTCAAAAGGGGTTTTCTCAGTGGCAACTGTGGGAATGCGATTAAGAAGATACACTGCTGTAAGTATGCACCCAAATACAAATGGGCAAGCTTGCCTGAAACAGGAAAGCTCCTGCCATCTCTAGTAAATGTTGATGCTTTCGTTCAACAACACCATTTTGCCGAGGAATATCAGTACAAGACATTTTTAACTTGATTCCTTCATGTTCATTATAAAGCTGCATACTAGGTTCAACAACACCATTAACTGAGAATGCCAAAGTAATGTTGAAACTCCACGACTCCTTGTGACTGCGAATACATGTGCTCACCCAGCTCCAAAAAGTCACAAATTGCTGCTAGGTTAGCGGATGGATCCTCCGCTCCCTTTGCTGGATGGCCAAAGAATTGTCTCAAATGCTCCAACTAGGTCATCGTAAAACCTGTCACCGGGTTCTTGCCTTTCTCCGAGTTTCCCTGACCAACCTAAGCTGCCCTGGGCTCATGATCACCAACTGAACTCTCCCCCGTTCCACGTGGTCGACGCCTTTGAGATGGATCCCCTCACTTCTCTTGTAGAGGATAATCACTATGTCGATCATGGGTAGGGTAGCCAATGAGTCAATAACATGTCTTTTTAACATTCCTCATCTTTTAACAATGACTACAACGTGGTTGATCCTTTCCGCCATGTTGTCATTGGTTTCCTTCTAATTGAGCAGCAAAGGCTGCTGCCTCCGCCGTCAAATTTCTGCTCTGCAAGAGATTGTTACATCCTAATCTTGCCAAAAGTCACTATCATACCATCGATGAAATTTTTCAAATTTCATCGTAATATCGATGAGGACTAGAAATGTGATCCCTCGGCTCAAACTGTGTCGAGTTTCGACATAAAATGAGGAAGTTATGGATATTAACTGAGTTTCGAATCAAACTCACTCGATACCAACTAATCCGAAAATTCCCAAAATACCCCAAGGGTTTACTTTAAATTTACCTCTCGGCCTCTTTTATCGGAGAGCTACTATGCCAGCTGCTTGCTTAAGCAAGCAGGAGCCAATTACCGTCTCCGCATCCTCGCGGCTATTCTCTCTACTATGCCAGCTGCCTGCTTAAGCACGCAGAAGGCAATTATCTGCACGATTATTGAGCGCAGTTGTTTCTCTAGCTGCCTGTGCTTGGAAGAGGAGCCAATTATTAGGACGTTTGAAGCGCGGTTCAGAAGCAAGTGGCGGTCATTATTGCTCATAGCAGGGTGCTTAAGCAAGCAGGAGCATTATTGCTTGGCCGACATTATCGGGACGATTATTGTGCGCGGCTATTTCTCATCTACTATGCCAACGGCCTGTTTAAGCAAGCAGGAGCCACAGTTCACAAGCACGCGGCGGCCATTCAGGGTGCTTAAGCAAGCAGGAGGCGACCATTATTGCTTGTCCCAAAGCACGAAGGAGGTGGCAAGCAGGCATTGTCACAGCAGGTTGTTTGGCCAAGCATACAGGCATTGCCCTTCTCTGTTATGAGACCAGGCTGCTTAAGCAAGCTGGGGCCATCTGAAGGACATTGACGTGCCGGAGGATCGGGATCTCAACGCGACCGCAGATCTTACTACGAGAGCAGCTTGCTTTCAACACCCGAGAGTTGCCTGCTTAATGGTAGAAGATTGCATGGAGTGCGGACACTACAATAATAACACTACAGGAAAAAGCCTCTTTAATCATGGGAATTCCCGTATTTAAAAGCATGTTTCCCATGATTAATGACTTTATTCACGGGAAAATTACCATAATATAAAGCTCCGTGACTAATTGTACACCGTGACTAGTTATATTACCGTGACTAGATTGTAGTTTCCCATGATTATTTATACCTACTAATCATGGGAAACCCCGTAACTAATGTTAAATTTTAGAGCACAGACCCAAGAAAGACACATCTAGAGACGGGATGTTTCCCTATTAAGATGGTTATACTGTGACAAATTGGTTCCTGTGACTATATATCAATCACTAGTCACGGTATCTACTATTTGTAGTGGCTGGTTCACGGTGACTATACGCCAATCACTAGTCACAGTATTTACTATGGGGTAATTACAAACCGTGATATCTATACAAGATTACTTATGAATTTTTGTCATTACTAATTACGAAAACTGGTTGTATTCAAGTGTGGTTCCACCAAGTAAAGAGAAAATTAATATTATTTATTTTGAATAATGGTCATACATTTAATTAATTAACCTAATTAGGAAAAGGACAAAGATGCAAAGAAACAAGAGTTTTCTACGTAACTATCAGGAGCACACCAACTAAAAATGAGACTGGCCAATCTCCCTCCAATCAAAATAGGCACCTCTAGTGCAAACAGGGCAGAACAGGAGAAGAAAAGTTCACATTAGTAAGATGTAGAAGGGTATTCCTAAAACAGAACCTTCAGTTAAGATTTTCGTGGCATCTAGGGCTTCACATTATACCCTGCAACACTTCCATTCCTTTGTCATTAGTTGCTAAAGCATGTTGGAAGCTATGAAGATTCCACGAATTACTTCAGTGAAGCCTCTTTTGTTTAACTCCTCACATTAATGGGCACACCACTGGTTGGATAAAATGTTGACTTCATCCCAGTTAGCCAAGCCTCATCTGTAGCTCTATCATCCTTGCTCGGTCCCATAGATATTCATAACGAGTTGTGGGACACAAGACTGCAAGATGTGGAATGTGGAATACCTGCCATGAACCTTAATGGCAGCACTTGAAAGAAAAGTTCAGTACATAAACCCCAAAACTTACTGCCATAACTTAGATCCAGAGACCTACAAGGCCAAGAAAATAGAAGCAGTCAAACAAAAAAGGAGGATATACTTGAAAGAGGTCAGCAAGTTGAGATATGGCAAAGCAAACAACAATAAGAGATGCAAAGTAGAGAAAAAGGCAGAACATTTTTGGGAAGAGAACTCTACAGAGACTGCAAAACAGTGATGAAGATTGATCCCTTTTATGGGTAAGAGAACTCTACAATAAGTGATTCTTTTGCAACAGAAACATAGAAAGAATCCAGAGAAGGAAAACAGAACCCAACAATGAAAGACAGAGAAAGAGAGGTGGTAAGCTTTACCTTAGGGATCTGTTTACACAGATAATATGAAGACCAAATCCAAAACAATAAGCCTAAAAAGGACCAGATTCACATTATCCAACCTGAAAGAAAGATGAAAAGTATATTAATCCCTATTTTTAATATGAACCTCGATGCTCCATAGAAGCAAAAACATTCATGATCAAGTTCAAGTTAAATGCATTGACAGTTCATAATTCTATATCCATCCATCGTAGAGGATTGAATATTGAATGAATTCTCTCTAATAATCATACAAGACCATCTATATTGCATACTTGAGAATGCTAGAGCACTGATTAGAGAATGTAAAAGGGAACCCACCCAATAGGACTCCTCCTTCTCCTCAACCTTCTCGTCATTCTTTGTTGTAGTAGCAGAAGCTGGAGTAGAAGCGTCATCACCAGCAAGGCCAGCAGCAACAAGCTCGTTGACATCCTTATGTTAGACCCTAGGGAGAAGAAAGTCGATCTGGTTGTCTTCAGAATCTACACCAATATGTCATGTTCTGCATTTTTTTTACATAAAAAATTGCCATGTATATGAAATCTTGACACAATACTCAACCTCATTATATAAATAGCCTTCATCAGCCACCAAACTCAGCATTTATAAAAAGTGTATGGCAAATGGCTAAGTTAACTGTTGCTTATTGCTATGATGTCTTAAGGGCCCAATCACACAAAATCCTAATACTCATTTATCTACTAAGTAAATAAGTTACCGGTAAATAAATAAGACCACTAAGTAACTTTCTATTGAGTATTAGTTTAATGTTGCATACTACGAACAAGGATGAGGTACGATTAGAATAACTATAGATATCCAAAATATTTTACCTCCGAATTAATAAGCCATGGTGAAGGGCACCTTCAGGAGTACGAAGATCCTCTTTTAGTTCCTGTAAAGGAGTACCTGGCTTCATCTCTTTCAGTATCACCTATACGAAGTAGACTAATACATGAAGCACACTATACACAGTAAAACTTAAAAATTTCAAGCCTATGATGAACTTGGAGAAATAAATAGCACATATATATATAGAACTAAGGTTGAAGCAGAATGAGCCTGAAAACCAGAGAAATGTAGAATTTGTACGTAGAATTTCTTCTTCAAGGTACAAGTCGTCGTGATTTGTTAATTTTAGTTTGTTTTCAACTTGGAAAAGGTATAAGGGATAACAACAAAAAGAATCAATAAGTAAAACCAGAACAAACAAAAAACATGGCAGTGCGAGATAACCAAACCTGATAATCAATGTCCATCTTCCCCAACTTAGGCTGCATGAACTCGCTTTGCTTTAGCTCAACTTTCTACCATTCTCTTTCTGGATATATGCCTGCATAGAGTGGAGAAAGAAGGTTGAATTCCATTAAAACTGAAAAATCCCCTATTTGTTCGGTTTCAAACCCTAAAACACCAAAAATATGAAATTTCAATCCCAATTTCACAATCAATGCATGAAATTGGTGCTACCCAACCCAAACTTCAGGAAGAGGATAAACGTTCAACGAGAGTATTGAACTACTCTTTGCTGCCTGCGTCGATTTGGCGGCAAAGTGAAAAAGAAGTGAAGCAAAGGTGGCGAGTTCAGGAAATGCAAGGAGGATGTGAAGAAGAGAGTGGTTTCATAAGTGGAGTTGGTGTTTTGGAGATGGACTGAAGGAGGAAGGAGGAGGAATCAGTGAGGACTGGGGATGCAGCCGGTGGAAGTGGGTGGTGGTGGTAGGCTCTCCCAATTCCTTTCTCTGGAGAAGAACGCAGGGGAGAGAAAGAGAGTATGGGAAGAGGTGAAGGGCGAAGTAAGTAGTTGGGCTTTCGCCTTTCATTATTTTGTGCTACGTGGGGGAAGAGGGATTGTGAAAATTTCAAAAGAGGCGGGTATATTTTCTATGCTGAAAACTTTTGGGTAGAAAATGAAATTTTGGAGTCAAAATAAATGTTTTCAACCAAAGTAAAATTTCATATTTGGAGCCAGATAATTCTCCCTCCTATAATTCTGAACAATTTTTTCAACCAAAGGTAAAATTTGGAGCCAAACAATTCTCCCTCTTATAATTTTGAATAATTTTTGTTAAAGATAAAATTTCACATTATTCACGGTAAAAACCATGACTAAGTATTAATCACGGGAAATGAATACTAAAAATATGAATTGATTCCCATGATTAAAATCATACCACCAATTACGGGAATTTTTCTCGTGACTATTAGTGCGCTTCTTCGTACGGGAAAAATTCCCGTGAATAAGCTCCCGTGACCAGAAACCACTTTTTCTGTAGTGTAAGGATAATATTTTGGAAGCGATTATGGAAATTTTAGAGCAAAATCAGAGCGAGTTTTGACAAAAGTAAGGTGAGTGTGAAGGGGGTAAATTGTACACCTTACGGTTTTTTAAGTATTTGCTTTGAGTATTTTCAAGTATTGATTTACGTGATGTGCGTGCAGTATTTGATTCATTTTTTATATTGCATAATTATGTTTAATGATATGTGATTTTGTTTGAGATATGTTTGAAGTGAATGTGCATGAGTTATTATTTACTTTAAAGTTTTATGTTCAGAAGTTATTATTAAAGTTTAAGAAACAAGTTCTTTTTAAGAAGTAACTCACCTTCAAGAAGGTGAAGTCGTTTTAAGTAACTAGCGCCAATCCGTTGCCATTTGAGATTTTCAGACATAGCAGCAGTTATGTTCTTGAGATATTTTAAGATGAGCAGCATTTATGCTCTTGAGAATCGTGGAAGAAGAGCCTTCCACGATATGTTTAAGTTTAAGGAAAGCCTGGATGGCTTCTCATATGTATGAGTTGGCAACCGGACTAGCTAGTGAGGGATCTCAGTGTCGGTCAAGCATTTAAGTCAAGCTTTGAGATTTAAGAATGGAGTAACAGTAACTCCCATACAGTTTTAAGAGTTAAGCTTTTTAATAGTGGAAGTACAAATCAACTTCCACTTAGTTAAGTAAAGTGATCAAGTTTGAATAAGATGTTAAACGTAAAGGCGTAGAATGACCCCAACTCACTCACCAGTTTGAAGAGCTAGAGGAGGAGCTAGAGGAGCAGTTAGTTAGCAGCGAGCTCGGGGGCAACCAGCTGGAGGAGGGCAGTATAAGCATCACGGAGGATGCTTAGTCAAGATTTTCAGTAGCAGCAACATTAGAGATTATTAGTTATTTACATTTATGATTATGAGTATGGAGATCATTTTGAGATTTTAAGTATTGAGTTTGCCCACTTTTTAGGGCTTTGCTTTGAACTACAAGAGTGTGTTTTCAGCATTTTCTTTAGTAAATTTTTTTCCCCGCTGCAATTTAAGATTTGGTTATTTTATTTTTCAGTGGCATTTTAGTAAAAATAGTACCCGACCGGGTTAGGGTGTTACAGAGATCATACGCTGCTGCTGCTCCTCATTGAGATCTAGATTAAACACTTCAGCCAAGCTAAGTGTGGGTTGTGCAGCGACTACCTGCATCCGTACTAATAAAAAAACATAGTAAGTACATATAAAATTAAAAAAGATGCGAGTTTTCTAGGTGAGGTCGAATTCGGAGGGAGAATCTGCATGTACAGTGTCCACAAGTACAGTTGGGTGTGGGTGCGATCTATGAACACTCTTCCCACAGAGATCACAACTTAAAAGCTTATGCATAGTGATTTTCTTGTTGAATAAGGTTAATGAGCCTTTTTGGCTCATAAGATTAGGCCACATTGTCATGCCCAAAACGGCCTTAGAGATTCGCTCGAATATCACCCAATGTCTCAGCAAATCTTACATTGTTGTGAATTTCTTTATCCATGGGAGTCTTAAGCTACCCTTACACTATCGCATCACAACGAACTCAAGTGTCACGCTCTTCCACGCCAGAAGGATTATGCAAAGTTCCATCAACGAAAGAAAACTTGTTCTTTACAATTAGCGAGTCTTTCATCTCCATGACCAACTCACCATAGTTGGACGATGTCAACACGTCACCGGCCAGCATCTGGCCATGTCCGTCGGAGTTGGATAGTTGATACACCGGTCCCAGACTCCCCATGATACTCCTCCTAACCGACTTTGTCCCATCATGATCACTATTCTTCGAGTCATCACGCATGATTAAATAGTATGGACCGGATGCTCTGATACCATGAGAAACCGAATGAGATGATTGATATTTGAAAGAGTAAAAGACACGGTATCTCTGAGGAATCAGGACTAATCGACGGAAGAGTTCAAGCGCTTAACACGATTGAAGCCTTACCTTTTGTTTCATTCTCCTTCTGCGAATTGGTCACAACAGCAAATGCGTGGGCTGGACGTGCTTGGTCCAACGGAGATTCGTCCAAGTCAATACTCTCGCATGTGGCAAAAGCTCAATTAGGAATGCTTTAGTAGAAGAGATAGAGTGGTACAATAGATGATGAATTGATAGATATGATATGAATGAGAATTGTGATGTATGTTTATGTCGAGTAAACTTCCTATTCAATTGCGTATCTTTACTTTTATGATTGATTTACTTTGCTTTCCTTATATTAATGAAAGATAACCGAAACATATATACTTTTATTGCTTTGTGTCAAGCATGAGTATTTGGATGTGATAAATGGAGGACGGTCGAAGAGGCTGTGCTGCAAACCACAAATCGATGGTCGTCGTGCTAAGGACTCTCTCTGGTGGCTTCCCCGCTAGATCAATGGGAGTATGATTGAGATAAAGAAGCAAATATGGTTGGCCTTGATGTTGTTGTCGTCGTCAACCCTCCTCTTATGTTTTACTTGGACGGATAAGAGAGAAAAAGAGGCGGCGGTTAGGGTTTAACTATTCGAGAGTGAAGGAGAATAGCGATTGTGTTTCTTCTGTTCATTGGTTCATAAAAGAAGTAAATTAATTTTTTATCTGCAAAGGATAAAAAGAGAGGCGGCCGAGAAGATGAAAGTGAAGAGAAGAATAGTTTGTGCAGCTAGGGTTTCTCTTACCATCACTTTTCTTTTGTGCATTCCTTAAAAAGACAATTATGCCTTTTCCTTTTTTTAAAATCCACCAAACTACCAACCATTCTATCTTTCAGGCTAGTATGCTATTAACCGCTAACCGCTAGGCCTTGTTGGCTAACGATGATGATTTGGTTGGTGGGTATCTGCAACCGACCCGACTATCACTCTTATTAGAGGAGAGAAGGGAGTTTTTTTTACCAGGAAAAGTATACTTTTTCTAAACTCATATTTTTCTTATACGGGTTATATCTCATTCGTTTTAACTCAAAATTTTAAAAACAATTAGTTATGATCTACACAATTATATCAATTTTGATATATTATGAGCAAAAGAAAAATTTTCTTTTAAAACTCGTTTGGATGGTAATGATCTCATATCATGATTTGATAGTGGTATAATGACATATCTCTTTAGTTTTAACTCAAAATTTTAAAAAATTTGTGCATAAACTTATTATTTATTATCTACACAATGATATCGATTTCATTATGTCTTGAGCAAAGAAACAAGTCAGTCATTCAAAAATACGTGTTTGGTGTAATCTTATCATTGTTATATCACAATTTTATCATTATGATACATCATACCACGGGACTAGATAGTATAACAACAGCCCTTGTGTTGTTATTGTAACAACACTAGTCTCCAACCAATAGGAAGATAGGGTTGTGATGATTTTTTATTAGATGAGTTGACCTAGTGTAAAATCAAAGCAGGGGTATAATTGTCATTATGAAAAATCTGTTTAAATAATAATATAAAATAAAAAAAATAAAATAAAAAATATTTTTTTTATTTTCGGCCCAAAAATTTGGGCGCCGGAATTCTGCCACCGGTCGCCGGAAAATGGTCACCGGAATATGCTTTTTGTCGCCGAAATATGCTTACCGGCGTCGGAATATGCTTACCGGCGTCAGAATCTAGTCACCGGGGCCGGAATATGCCTATCGGCGTCGGAATCTGCTCACTGACGGTCACCGGAGTTCGGTCAACGGTCTTCGTTGACCGGTCAACGGTCTTCATTGACCGGTCAACGATCACCGGATGTTATGGTCTGCATTGTGAGATTTATGGTTTGGTTTCTCATATTTTTGTATGTCTTTTGTGGTTTGCTTTATCGTGTTTGTGGTTTGCATTGAGAAGTTTCTGGTTTGTTTTATCGTGTTTGTGGTTTGCATTGAGAAGTTTCTGGTTTGCTTTCAAAAATTTTGTGGTTTGCATTGAGGGGTTTCTGGTTTGTTTTAATATATTTGTGGTCTGCATTATGACGTTTATGGTTTGCTTTCAAAAATTTTGTGGTTTGCATTGTGAGGTTTTGGGTTTATTTTAATATATTTGTGGTTTGCATTAGAAGATTTCTGGTTTGTTTTTTTTGTGGTTTGCTTTTCCGTGTTTGTGGTTTGCATTAGGGTGTTTCTGGTGTGCTTTTCAAAATATTTATGGTTTGCTTTGTGAAATTTCTGGTTCGTTTTAGGAGACTTGTGCTTTGTTTTAGGAGGTTTCTAGTATGCTTTTTTGTGGTTAGTTATATCGCATTTGTGGTTTGCATTAGGAGGTTTTTGGTGTGTTTTAGAAATAGTTGTGGTTTGCTTTGTGGTGTTTCTAGTATGTTTTAGGTGATTTGTAGTTTGGATTGTGAGGTTTCTGGTGTGCTTTATAAACATTTGTGGTGTGTTTTATGGTGTTTCTGATATGTTTCAGGAGATTTATGATTTACATTACAAGGTTTTTGGTGTGTTTTATAGTATGTTTATTGGATTTATCAAAATGCCTCGGTCTCTCTTTCAGTGATACAGAAGCAGTCTCGTTGAGTTAATTTTATTTCCCCCACAAACTAGTGAAACATAACACATGTTTTCCATCTCCTTCATCAACATCATCAACTCAATCACTGCCAGGACTACTTCCTCGAAATTGTAACTCTGTGAAATCCTCAAGGTAAAGATACATAAGCTTTGGTGCTTCCATCACAATGCGACACAAACCCTCATAACCATCGTCATCAAGAACACCAATGATCCTTAAATCTTTCAAGAATGGCATGGAAGCAATGAGTACGTCGTCCTCGTCCATGCTATGTCACACAACTCCAAAGAAAGAGTCTCCGCAATAGGGCAACCAGAAATGAGCCTACTAAAGGACTCAAAAGTCCTTAATTACCACATTCAAAAGCTCAAAGCTTTTCAAACTAGGAAGAGAAACCGACCCTTTCGCACCCATCACAACACCATTGAGCTTTGCAACTTTAAGATTTTTCAAAGTGTAGAAGCTCTCTGGAATCCACCAAATACAACTCCAAGGGGGAGATCCATATGAATTTTCCGGCTTAAGCTTAACATCAATTTCCTTAACCTCAGACCCGAATAGCAATCCTAGTTTATCCAAGTAAACCTTGCATCACCTTCCAATTACGCTTTGTTATGAAAAGACGGAAACTGAAACGTTGTAGAGAATCGAAATTCCTGCTCCGTTGCCAGCTGGAGTTGTCGGTGAAAACCACGTCGCTAATCTGCCCAGCTCCGTCCTTCAGCACAACGCTGAGCTCTCCGGCCACCAGTGGCCTCCTCCCTTCCCGTTCTCTGACAACACTGTCGTTGAAATCCTTCGCGCACCAATCTTCGACAGAGCCAAAATCGCCGTCCAGGACAACGATTTCAATCTTGAGGGAAGACACCGGACCCGACGTGACGATTGTATTGGACGCGGCATCGAGGAGCACGATCCAGATCCGAGCAGAAACTCCGACATGCTCGGCGGCAGCGGCCTCAATCCAGAACCGACGCCGTCGTCGTAATACAACTCGAATCCACAGCCTCCGCCTCCTCCGCTCTCGCCGCCGTTGCCGGTACTGGCGATTTATTCCCACTCTGGCTCCCACTGTCCGTTCAGCCGCGGAGCACGATGACGGCGGCTAGCAATTGTTGTTGGAGAATGGAGAGGGAGAGAACACGTGAGTTGAGAGAGTAAATTAATTTAATTTTTATTTTCCTTATTTTGGGTTAATTTACTCTTCTACCCTTAATGATAATAGTTGTTATAGTAACAACATACGAATTGTTGTTATAATATCCTCTCCCTCATACCACTATCATATCATGATATTATCGCAAGGTTATAGTGTTAATATTATAATATGATAGTGGTACGATGTCACTAATTATTTTGTCAAACATAAAGGATATGATCTCAAATAGGCCACTCTACAACTTTTTATTACTTGTCAAAGAAGCAATCTCAATTGGCAAGAAAAGGGGCAGAATTTGGCTAAGTGTCAAAGTCGTTTTAGGGTGCCTACTTTATAGGCTTATTTCTCACAAATGGCTCGATACAAATGCAGGAAGAAGGGATTCTATTGAAGACCAAGTGTTTGTCTACAAACTAGAAGGATTGGTTGATCCAAACCAAGTCATTAAGGCCATTTTCCAAAGCCCTAAAGTTGCAATCTCAACACAAGAAAACTGCTTAAATTTGACGAATTCTGTGAGCGTGTTCGTGAAGCCTATTTTGGAGCTCTGTTCGAGAAGGATGGATGAGATTCGAGTCTAGAGAGCTATACCACATGAAATTAGGTATGTTCTACATGATACATCTTCGTAATGAAAATAGAGTGGAAACATGAGTTGGCTTTTACAGTATCTATAGAATAAGCAGTGATAACTATCTGCTTCAAAAAGATAGTTGTAAGAAATGAAGTAATAACTATTTTTTCCTCATTTTATTCATCCACAAAGACTTGGGATTGGATGAACGAATGATTACCTTGAAGGCTTCAAACGAAGGACTGAAAAATCGTACGAAGCCACCAAGATCTGTCTTGTAAAACAAGAATTATGCTTTTCCTTATTCGATTAGAATTCGGGTCTTTTTATGTTTTAAGTGTAATTCTGAGTTGGAATGTGTTTTAAGCATTTTAACACAATTTTAGGTTTTGTTGAATAAAATTACCCAGGGGAGTTTACCCTTGTTCTTGGAGCTTTGCCTCGAGAATTGTCTATTGTTTTAGCTATTTGGTGGTTTCCCTAGATACTACAAGAACCTTGTTGAAGCCATTCTGTTGAAGAGTTCAGAATTAGCTTGACAAGTCTATTATCAATCAAGCAAACACTCTAACTTGTGGAGAGATTCTACCTATCCATCGTCTTTCCTTCAATTGTTTTTGGTCGAGTTTAGCTGCGTACTTTGATTCAAATCTAACCACCTCCAAGATTGCATCAGTATGACATTATACCAACATCATATCAATATTATACCAACATCATACAACTGTGACATCATGATATTGTCGTAGTCATAATATCATGATATGACAGTAGTATGATGTCATTAGATTATTTTTCACACATAAAACATCATACCAATCATAACACTATCATACAAACATCATACCATTATAGTAAGACTACACAATATCATCTCAACAGTCACATAATGATCTTACCATTATGGTAAGACTAACATCATCGTTAGGGTATTACCCGACCCACATTAGCATGGGTCGGGGCATGGGTATCTACTTCCAACCCACCCAGCCCCGCCCCGTTCTTGACTCTCTCTATCTCAATTTCTTACAGTACCTATTCATGTTTCTCCTATTTTGACTTTTTCAACTAGTTTGACTTGATCTTTCAACTAGTTAAACTAAATTACCCATTATGTTATCACTATTTTCCATTCATAGAGTATTTTTTCCTTCGTTTATCGTAAAAGGTAAAATTTTGCATGTATTTTTTCCAAATAAGATGTAGGAATGGGTTGACCCGCCCCGCACGATTATTACCCGCCCCACCCCATTGCCATCACTAATCATCATCATACATATAAGTGGTATTATTGTGATATGAAAATGGTAATGTAATGTGAACATTTTTTTGTTCAAAATGGCAACGTACTGGCGCTAGTGACAATAACTTATACTCGTAAAATTTCAAAGTAACTAATAATCTCAAAAACATTCACTTCAAATCATAGCTCAAACAAAGCATATATAATCAATCGCAAACATGCAATCTCAAACAAAAATCGAATATTGCACATACATCGAGTAACTCAATACTTGAAAATACTCAAGCAAATACTTGGAAAAAACGCGTAAGGCGTAGAATTTACCCCCTTTACACTCACCTTACCTCCGTCGGAACTGGCTCTGATTTTGCTCCAAAGTTTCCATACTCGCTTCCAAAATATTATCCTTATTACACTCGTACTTGCTTGAATAAAATGGAGCAGCTTGCTTGGCACAAATGGACCAACTTGCTTTGGTCATTATTGTGAAGCAAGTTGCTCAAATGGAAACTTGCTGTTGCTTGGCACATATGGAACTAAATGGACCAGTTTGCTTTTGCTGCTACGGCGAAGCATCTGGGACGTCCACACTTCATCCATCCAAGTCAGAGCGAAGACGGCCCGGGCAACAAGAGAATTGGTCCCGACATGCCGCTATCGGTGACAAAGGCAAGCTTCTCTCGTGAGGAAGCAATCTGCTCTCATAGTAGAGAGGGGTGCTCTTGCAATAGGATTGGTCTTAATATACCCCTGTGAGGAAGCAAGCTGCTTTCATAGTAGAGAGGGGTGCTCTCGCACTGACATGCCAAGCAAACTGCTCTCCCAGTGCAGAGGGGTGCTCTCGCAATAGGATTGGTCTTATCATACCCCTGTGACGCAGCAAGATGCTTTCATAGTAGAGAGGGGCGCTCTCGCAGTAGGATTGGTCCCAACATGCCAAGCAAACTGCTCTCACAGTGCAGAGGGGTGCTTGCCTCCTCGACGAGCAACTACAAAGGCAAGCTTCTCTTGTAAGGAAGCAAGTTATAACACCCTGATATTTTAGATTTAGGTTCGACCTTAATACGTTATCGGTTGGATTGACGGCTAAGTACTAAGAGTTGCAAACTCGTATTAGGAATAATAATAACTTTTATTATTATTACTACTATAATTTAAAAAAATAACACATTGCTCGGCCGGGCCGAGCGGCCCTCAAAACCCCACTCCCCAGCAAAGAAAACCAAAAACCCCCATCCCCCCATTTATTTCCCTAGCGCCGCGGGCAGAGAAGAATGAAGAAGAAGAAAAAAAGAAAAAAAGAAGAAGAAAGGGAGCCGCCGCCTCCTTGTGCCCCGATCCCAACCCCGACCCCATCCCTTTCGTTCTAGGTAAGGATCACGAACCCCTTCGCAATTTCTAAACTCGATTTATCGGTAGACTTATCCGAAGCTCGTATTTTTATTAGCGGTGACTTTGAGGGTTCGATCAACAAGGAGATCAATGTCCCGGGTCATCCAACCTAGGCCTAGGCACGTTCTAGAGGCAAGGGAACTCGATCCCTTTGAGTTAGATCGATTGATTTGGTGATTTTTCGTGAGGGTAGAATTCTGGGGTTTTAGCAACAGGCTTTACAGTCTTTTAGTGACAGATTTTGATTGGTCACTAAAGCTGCTGAGAATTTCCAGAAACGTATTTTTAGATGTTTTAAATTGATTCGAGCCTCTTTGAAGGTTTTTTTCTGGATGAATTAATTTTATAAATTGAGCGACGTCTAGGAGATGATCGTAATTTAATTTAGGAGTTTGTGAAGATGTATTTCTATTTTTAGAAATTGTTCGAATAATTTTTTTAATTAAATAAAAATCTTTCCGAGGGGTTTTTAAGGGTTCGATAATTTTCCAAGGTATAGGAGCTCATGATTGACATGAAAATATTATTATCCGAATTTTTAAGAAGGTTCTAGTTAGGAGGAAAATTCGTCCAAGACTAAAATAATTAAGAAAAATGGTCGTTTTTGAAGGGATTAATTCTAGAAAATTTTAATGGGGGTTAAAGGACCTTTGGAGTGAGTATTGAGGATAGGACTTTGAGTAGAGGGTGTCTGGGTAGATAAAAAGGAGACTTTTAAATCGAGGAAGGGTGTCTTAGAATATGAATTTTCTTATTAATAGGTTTCCTGGGATAATCCGGCTAAGGAGGGAAAGAAGGTGAGAAAGTTAGCCGACGATCAAGCGTTGTAGTCTCTCGTGATGAGGAAGTTCACACCGTTTAGTATGAGAGGAAGAGTCGTGTCTAGCGGAGGCAAGAGGAAGGCTAAGAGCTCGGCAACGACGATCGCGACTGGCGGGGGTAAAGCGATGGAGAGGCCCCGACCCTATGCTCTTAGAAGACCCGGGGTGTCAGGAGTTCGAAGTTGGCCTCCGAATTGTGGCCCGAGGAGGGACCTTGAAGAGAATGGCGACGGAGCTCCAATGGTTAGGGTCGTTGAAGAGGAAGACGATGAACCGATAGAGGAAGAGCCACAAGAGGAAAAATGCGCAGGGCTTGAGCGTGAGAATGCAGACGTTGATTCGACTAAAGAGGTGAGTGTAAAGGGGGTAAAATCTCTGTCGTAGGTCTTTTAGTTTCCACTTTTCGTTCAAGTTATTATTTAGTTAATTTTCTAATATGCGCGATATGTGTGTGAGGCATCCCACCGCCTGTAAGGGTGGAGGCACGCGTTGTGCTATGTATGAATGTATGTTATGTTGTATGGATTGATGGTATGAGGAACCCCCGGGCGGTTGGGTCACTACTGGACGACGAGACGTAACGCAGTAGTTGACAGGCATGGACTGGACGGCGAGACGAAACGCAGTGCCATTGCCGAGTTTGGGTATGCAACCGGACGGCGAGACGTAACGCGGTTGGCATACTAGGGTAGGGACACCGGACGGCGAGACGTAACGCGGTGGTCCCTTGTGTTGGTGTCTTTGGATTAAGAATATAAGTAAGAAAAATTCTAAAGATAAGATCGGAGTAGAGATCTCTTATAGACTGTTTAATAGTAAAGTTTAAAGGATGAAAGTGAGAACGACTTTTGTCTAAGGAAGGCATTTCCCTAATAATGTGTTTAGTAAGGAGTTTGCCTAGGGCAAGGACCTAAGGAAGTAACGGCGAGACTGACCCCTTCTCACTCACCAGGTTGAGGATAGTCTAGCAGAAGTGAATTACGAGAA